TTTCCCCCCCCGGCCCCATTTAACCCTTCCCATTCCCCCGCAGGCCGCTGCCGAAGGCAGAGTTCCTACAACCCCCAGCCCCATTTACCCCCCCCTTAACCAAACCCCAGCCCCCTCCCCCGATCCCCCCCGAGCCCCTGGGACCCCCCCAGGCCGCCCCCAGCCCCATTTCTCGCCCCCCCAGGCCGGTGCAGAAGGCGGAGCTCGTTCGCCTCTCGCAGACGCTGCTCCACGTCCCCGCCCTGCACTGGGTGGTGGTCGAGGACGCCGCCGCCCCCTCGGCGCTGGTGGGGGGGGTCCTGGCGGCCTCGGGGGTCTCCTTCACCCACCTGAGCGCCGAGACCCCCCCCGAGCTGCGGGGGGGCCCCGGGGCCCCGTCCTGGCTGTTCCCGCGGGGAGCGGAGCAGCGGAACCGGGCGCTGCGCTGGCTGCGGGACACGCGGCGCAGCGACGAGCCCGGCGTCGTCTACTTCGCTGACGATGACAACACCTACAGCCTGCGGCTCTTCGAGGAGGTGAGGGGCTGGAAATGCCCAAAGAAACACAAAATCCCCCAAAAAAAACCGACCTGGAAAAACCCCAATTCACCCCAGCCTCAGTGAACCGTTCTGATCCATCCTAAACTCAGCTAAATGCCCCCAAAATCGTTCAAATCCCCCTCAGCCTGCGGCTCTTCGAGGAGGTGAGGGGCTGGAAATGCCCAAAAAAACCCAAAATCCCCCAAAAAATCCCAAATCCCCCCAAAAAAAACCGACCTGGAAAAACCCAAATTCATCCCAGCCTTGGTGAGCCACCCTAAACTCGACCTAAACTCGACCTAAACTCAGCCAAATCCCCCCAAAATCGTTCAAATCCCCCTCAGCCTGTGGCTCTTCGAGGAGGTGAGGGGCTGGAAATGCCCAAAAAAACCCAAAATCCCCCAAAAAATCCCAAATTCCCCCCAAAAAAACCGACCTGGAAAAGCCCAAATTCACCCCAGCCTCGGTGAGCCACCCTAAACTCGACCTAAACTCAGCCAAATCCCCCCACA